TTGTTACGACTGAATCGACTTTTCAATTCTCTATCCAACGATGCCAAAACGAATTCTGTGGCTCGAATGGTTCTTGAGAAACTTCGGAAAAAGCAACGTCATGTTCAAGTGGATTTTGCAACTCAAAAAAAATTACGCAAATCTAAAACTTCTTGAATTCAAGCATTTTTTGAGAAACCTGCCAACATTTCCCCATCCATGGTTCACTTTCTAAGAAGGCCATTAATGTCTCTCTAGAATGATGTACAAATGAGCGTTCTTGCTCGTTTTGCTTCCGAAAAACATGCAAAACGGGACGGAAAACACGAAATTTTGCAATAATCTGCATCATTTTTCTAATTTCATAGATAACAGAAGACTGTATTTTTTCTACATAACCCCCCCCCCCTGACTTGCTGAATGAAGCTGGATCCGCCCCTGCGTTTGGCAACACTCGAATGTTCGGGTTCAATTACGGAACAGCGAGTTCAACTTCCGATGGGGGCGCTGCGAAACGTCAAATTACTCGTTGTCGAGTGACAGTTGAGACTCGTTTATGTCAGAGTTTATGTCATTTATAACATAAAACAATACTTACACACTTTTCGATCTGTTCCTATTTCTGTAAAAGCTTGCAAACGCTGATTAGAACGAAACAATGTCACCAATGTGACACCAGTGTCAACAAAACAAGTGTCAAACTGTCCAAAAACGAATTCTACATTCGGCCAGCTGTCAATAGTTATCCGGCTGGCAGCGTTGCCGCTGCGGCGTATTCTTCCGCAACAATAATAAAAAACACCGTTGCACTGGCAAATTTGGATAAACTTTGGAASTGGATAMATTCTGACTGCTTAGAGCGAATTGATTKCTGTTTGAAGCGGTACTTAGCACAATTGTTTTTCGGTTGGTGCGTGCTTTTCACAAAAATTAGTGCGTCATACAAAGTGTCTACAGGGTTGGCCAAAAAAACTCGGTTTTTAGGGACAATTCAGCGCTAGGGCCTTCTTTCCAGATTGGCGTGCAGTTGAACAGCTCCCCCATTCAATTCTGGCCTGTTTCCGTTCAGAGTCCCTCTAATGGTATCGCAGGTTTAAGCGGCGATTTGCAAAGTGCGTGTACATATCCAGAGCTAATAAGTTACCGAGCTGGCAGGCTCGACGACGTCCTTTCCTGGCTTTGAGGGCCACTTGGAGGCTTTCCTTCCGTGTCTTCGTTCCAGATTTTCCGGCCGTTGCGTGCGGCCGACACACCTTCGTGCCGAAACGCCTCAGCCCATCCATTTGGCATGTCGAACCTAATTAGCTGGACAACTGGAACGTGTGTTTGCTGAACCACTTTGCCAGGAAAACGCCATCCAAACGGGGATTTTTTAATATTTTAATGTTGTCTAGAGGAGGGAAAGATTTGTCGCTGTTCCGCGTTCATTATTTTCGTCCCTACTTCGCCACATCTCGTCTGCAGATCGGATTTCTCCAGGCTTAATTTTTTATCCAGCCGTCGCAGCCGATCGCTTTTAACAACATACATTATTTATAAACAACATTTGGGGGCCGCGGCGCGTCATTACATCGGTGTCCTCCCATTGGTCAACTATCCGCACTTGACCCGGTCCTTTGCCAGATTCCGGGAAACTATTGGCTGGCGGTCGGGAAAAGTTCGCAAAAGAGGCGGGCGCTTTTCCAGCACTTTCTTAGCCGCGTCTCGTTCTAGTTTTCTCCACTTACGCGGTCCAGAGTGGCGTTTTCTCGATTTATTTCGCCGTCAAATTGTCGACAAGTACCTGGATAGGGGGGCAGTGCTCGTTCTGGCTCGGTCCAGAAGTTGATATTTCCGATTTATTGCCGGAGTAAAAGATGGGGCAAAGCTTTCGGCCAGATTGGGTCGTTCAATGACATGGAGTTTATGAGGCAGAATAACTTGCCATTGGCAGTTAATAATTAGATGTTTCCAGGCTTTTTCAAGGATGCTTTCTCTACACGTGATTGTTCATCGGGACTTTTTCTCTCAAATTTCCACGTCCACGTGATTACTATTTGGGGTTAATCAAGCATGTATTTTCGCTGCAACTTGCGAAGTGCGAAAGTTAGATTTGGATGGATTTTCTAGGTCAAAGTCTGCTTCTGGCAACTGTTTTTTTGTGTTTTCCAATTCCTCATCATCTTCTTTTGCTCATACTGAAGACGCGGCCACAATAGAACAGAACGGAAACTTCTTCAGATGGAGAAGATGCAAAGTTGCTGGTCTCTGTTTTAATTGAGTTGAGTTAATGCTGGAATGAAAAATTCCCTGATGATGACCTGGAATCGAAACTGTTTTCCTCTTTTGGAGTTAACTGTGGTCTCTTGAATAGAGCAAGAGTAAAGTCTCTATATATTTTGGTTTTGGCGCGGTATAATTTTAGAAACGCAACTCGCAGCCTGACTGCAAAAATGTGGATGTTTGGGAAATTACCAAAAAATCTCCTTGATTGGATGATGGTACCAATTTCCAATTTTTCCCATCTAGACATTTGACTATTGCCTTTTTGAGGAAGTTATTGACACTCTCTCAGCTCTCTTGACTTTGGCGCAATTAATTTTTGAAAAAAATGTTGGCAAATAATTCAGTTTCAAAGAAGTTAGTTTGAAAATTCTCCAAAATCTTCGATGGTGGCAATATTTCGAGTCTTTGCATATCTATCTATAGAGTGAACTGTTTTCTTTTCAATGGCGAAGCAATTAATTTTCCACGGTTTGCGGGTTTAAATCTATGAATTTTTGAAAAGCGACTGATTGATAAAATGTTTCCAATTTTCCAAAAAACACCTGACTATGGCACTGACTTGATTTTCTTTTCCTGTATACAGTCAACTGTTGTCTCTTGAATAAAGAAATAGTCAATTCTCCATCTATCTTGAGTTTCGCTGGATTAATTTTTAAAACCCGTCTCGCAGAAGGCGGACTGAGAAAATGCGCATGTTTGAGAAATTTACCAAAAAATCTCTGATTATGATACCAATTGGCATTTTTTTTTCATCCAGACAATTTAGTATTGGTTTTTTAAGAATATTATGCAAAATTATTCAACCCTCTTGGCTTTGACTCAATTAATTATTTTACGAACTTTCCAACAAATTTTTAAGTGTAGTTTAAAACAAGCCGAGGTTTAAAAAATTCCCCAAAAATTATTGAGGCTGGAAGCAAGTGGAGTCTTTCCATATCTAAAGAGTGAACTGTTTTCTATTAAATACCGTTAAGGACAATTCTCTTCGATTTCGGGCTTGGAATCGGTAAATTTTTGAATAGCGGCTTGCAGAAGTGGCTGATTGAAAAACCGCAAATGTTTGAGAAATTTTCCAAAAAACCCCTGACCATGGCACTCATTTGCAAATATTTTCCTTTATAGAATCGACTTTTGTCTCTTGAATAAAGAATTGGTCGATTATCCATCTACCTTGACTTTTGCTCAATTAATTTTCGAAGCGCGACTCGCAGAAGCCTGGCTGAAAAATTGCGCATGTTTTGACAAATTTACCTATAAATCTGTGATTATGGTACCAATTCGCATTTTTGCTCAACTGGACACTTGACTATTGCCTTTTTAATGAAATTATGGCAAATTCTTCAGATCTCTTGGTTTGGGCTCAATTAATTTTTGAAAAAAATTTTGGCAAATGATTTTGCTTAAAAAAACTTAGCTTTCAAAAATCATGCCAAAATCCTGGATGGTGACAGTAATTCGAGTCTTTCTTGATCTATAGAGTGAATTACGGAGAATTGTCTACCATTTTTGGCTTTGAATAGATGAATTTTTGAAAAGGGACTTTCAGAGTCTGATTCAAAAACCTCATGTTTGGGCAATTCACTAAAAAAACCCTCAATATGGTACTGACTGCATTTTTTTCTTTGATAGAGTCAATTTTTATCTCTTAAACCAAAAAATGCTCAATTCTCCGTCTACATTGAGTTTTGCTCAATTAATTTCTGAACCGTAACTCGCAAAACCCTGCCTGAAAAACTGCGTATGTTTGAGAAATTTGCCAAAAAATCTCTTATAATGTCATTCTCAAGCAATTCGCGGATTTTCTCATCTAGACACTTCACTGTGACTAAACTAAACAAATTTTTGAAAAGTTATCAGCGACTGATTTTGCTAAATTACAGCCAAAGTTCAAAAAATTATATTGTTAAATGCCGAACGCACAATTTCCTACCATTTTTGGCTTTGGATCAATGAATTTTTGAAAAGCGACTTGCCAAATGGTCAAATTGAAAAATCGCTAAGATTTCAAACATTTGCCAAAAAATCCCTGATGATGGGATTCATTTGAAACTTTACACGCTGATGCAGTCGCTTTTTGGCTCTTCAGTGAAACAACTGGAAATTTTTCGCCGTTCCTGGCTTTGGCTGAATTAATTTTTTGAGAAGCCCTTGCGAAATGAAACACTAGTGTGGAAAATTCCGAAAAAATTCCTGGTGATGGCCAATTCGAAACTTTTCCAGTTTATACCCTGGACTTTTGCCTTTAGAACGAGAAAATAAGCGGACCATCATCTTCTCAGTTTTTGCTTCTTAACTCAAAAAACCAATAGAAAAGGTTCGGGTCATTAAGGTTGAGAAATGCACAAACAAGCAGAAAATACAGTAGAAAGTGGTGAAAAATTGCCTAAAACGGCATTCGATTTATTAATTACTCAAAAAACACAGAAAGTTTCAAGATTGAAACTTCCTTTGGGCGCCTTTTCAATCTAAAAGTCCGCCATTTTCAAGCAGTTTGAATAAGTGACCGTTAATTTGAACGAAAAAGCCGTTACACGTTACGTCATGCACGAGGTAATCGGATATCAGTTTCCTTGTCTGATGCAAATTTCTAGTCGTTTTTCCCACTCGAATCGCTGGAATTACGCACCACTTG